GAGACCCACCCCCACCCTGCAGTCTCTCCTCTTGGAAACGGAAACGGCTCCACAGTCCCGCGGCTGCTCCCACACACACCTTGGAGTTAGCCTTCCCTTTCCCTCCCTCACCAAATTTATTCCATCAGCCAGACCTGTCAGGTTCACTTACTAAGTATGTCTGTTCACTTTGCCATTTCCCCTGTGCTGCTGTGGCCTCCTCCCTGGTCTACTCTGCCCCACTGCCACCTCCCCCGCCTTCCATCCCTCCCGCAATAGCCAGAGGGGCCTTGGGAAGCTGCAAATCGGGTCACGGACTCTCCCCCCGAACCTCGATGAGCCCCCTTTCCACTGTGACCCAAATCCCGCCCCCTCTCGCCCCACACTCTCCCCTGCTCAGTATGCGCCAGGCGTTCCCCTGCTTCACCACCTCTGCGCCTGCCCTTCCCTCGCCCTGGAACGCTCTTGGCATCTCTGTAGGACTTCCGGTTTCTCGGGTCTCAGTCAGAATGTCACCTCTTCCTATCTGTCACCCCCTCCTGTCACCATAGGTCCTTTCCCAGTTATTCTCTATCACGTCTGCCTCCTGCACTAGACTATCAGCTACCACGTCCTTGTTCTTGCGCCCAGTACAGTGTCTGAAGCAACTGAGGCCCCAGGACATACACAGTTAATGAAGAGCATTCATTAAGGGTCTCCGAAGAGCCTGGCATTCTCCACCTGTTTTCCCCATTATCTCTCACAATGAACCTACCCAGAAGGGATTTTTATCCTCATTTCACAGATGGGGAAACCGAGGCCCAGGGGCTCAGGGACTTGTTTAGGGTCACCCAGCTGGAAATTGGCAGAACCAGGTTTCAAACCCAGGGCTGTCCGTCCTACTCGAGAAAGTCGGGACCACGTGGTCCCCTGTTACTGTCCCTTCTCGCTCTTCTTTGACCCCTGACTAGGAGACACCCCTCCCCACGGACCGCCAATTCTCAGAGGCCTCGACTCCTTGGCAAGGATGGAGATGGAGAATGGGTCATCAGACTGGCCCCACCATCCACAATGAAGCCACAGTCCAGCCCATCTGGTGGCCATTCTGACATTGTCAATACTGGGACAATGGAGCCTTGGAACCCAGCTCCATCCCTGCAGTGTAGGGACCTCGGTGGGTCCTGGCAGTGGGTCCTGGAAGGGGGCTCTTCGACACCTGTTCAGTGGGGCCCTGGGGAGCCAGGGCCATGCCGGGCACTGTCTGGTGCCCCTGGCATCCCAGCCCTGGCTACAGACCCTCAGGTTTAAGGAAGGACTACTGCAAGGAGGAAAGGGGCCAAGATGCCGCCAGCCTGAAGACACCCCATGCGGGTGCCTGGCCACGCTGCCTCGAGCGGGGCTGGACGAGCAGCTCTGACTTGGTCCCCTTGAACCTGTTGGAATCTTGCAGGCCCTGGGTCCCCACAAGGCTGCTGTGGGCACGGTCTGCACAGCCACCCAAGGCAGCCCTGCCCACAAGGGCCTGAAGGACCCTAAAAATCAACCAGCAGGCAGGATCAACCACCCCAAAGCACCCACTGCATTCTTGGCACTCTGCTGTCCTGCTGTGTGACTCTGGCAGGTGACAGGGTCTCTCTGAGCCTCCACTGCCCCATTGCTGCTGGGAGAGAATGATGGGATCCCTTCGCATCGCTGACCTGCCCTGTCACTGTGTGCTTGGGCCTCTGGAGGAGCCCCACTGCCCCCAGCCCTTCCCGTGAGAGTATCTGTCGGCCTTTCACATGACCCCCTCCCCCCATTCCTGCCCTTTTGTCAGGGCTGAGCAGGCCCGGCCTGAAGGGAGGAGGGAGCCCCCAGCACCGGAGAACCAGGAGAGACCGCGCTGCTGGCACAGGGCTCCTGGCGTGTGGAGCTCGGCCAGACACCCCCTACCAAGCTCCTACAGTTCCCAGGGCCTCTCCGACCCTCACCGCAGTCCTGTCACTGTCACTGTCATTCTCTCCCGCCCGCCCCCACCCCTTCTCTCTGGGGCCTGGGCCTGTGGCTGGGAGCCTGAGGGGCCAGGAGGGTGCTCTGGGGCACCCAGACCCCTGGCTAAGCTGGCCACCCCACCTGACTCAGGGGCAGATCAGGTCTGAGGGCTTCCTGTCCCCCCTGCAGCCACCCCCACCCCCAGGCCCCGCCTGCCGGCCTGGTCTGTGCCACATCCACCCTGGCTCTGCCCTACGCCGTGCACCCCACTGGCCCTTCTCCATGCCGCATCCTCCTGGTGTGAAAACACGTGGGGGACAACAGAGAGAGATCAGGAGCCGTGGGACACTGGTTCTTTGACGTCTAGAACATGTGCTCTAGAGGGCTGGCCTGTGGCCCCGGGCTCCGGCTGTGTCCTCGGCTGGCGTGGCTGGTGCCCTCCCTGTGTCTGGGGAATATTTGTCAAATGACTAAAGGGATGAATGAATGTGTGGGACTCCTGAGGTCCGAGCACCCACAGGGCCAAGGCCCGGATCCACCTCCCTTGCAGTGGGAGGGGGTGCACCTCTCAGCCACTCCACCCCACCCGGGCCTGAGTTCCAGGGACCTCGGAGCCCTCGGTCTGGACGAGGCCCAGGGCAGGGGCTGCAGGAAGCTCCATGCAGACATCCCCAGCTGCCACCTTTGCTGCCTCCACGTCCAGGACCCCCCCTCCTCCATGTGACCTCCCCCCCAGGCCCCTGGGCCCCTGCAGCACAAGGCACATCCCCCTGGCAATTTATTTCTCTTTCACTCCCTGTGACAATCCACCAGGGAGGCCCTGTACACCCAGTATTAGCAGCTGAGGAAGCCACAGCCCAGAGAGGCTGCCTTTCTGCCCAAGGTCACACAGCTGGGAGGCAGAGCAAGCTGGGGTTCCGGGCCGCACAGTCAGGCATCAGAGTGGCCCCCGCACAGGCAGTTCTCCTTGAGGAGGGGCCACAGGCTGGGGTGGACGTTCTGTGATCCTGGCCCAGCTCCACCACACCCTCTGGACGACCTCGGGTGGCACCTGGGTCTCAGCTCATTTATGAACCGGGAGCCATGTTAGCACCTCCCTGGCGTAGGTGGAGTGGGCAGCAGAGGGTCGCTGCTGCTAACAAAACCAGGACCCCATGCCTGCCTTCCCCTGGGGCCCGCCTGGACCCAGGTGGGGACCGGCCAGGTGGGCTGGCTCCTTCCTGAGCAACTGTGCTGGTAAGAAGCCTGGCTCCTCCTTTCCTGGTGAGACAATGCCCCCTCCCTTGCCAGAAATGGGAAAGACCTTACCTGGGATCCTGGTGCACCTGGGGGTCCAGGGGGACCGTGTGGTCCAGGGGGACCTGCCGGCAGAGTCACAGGTGGTCACCTGGGGCCAGAGAAGCCCACTGCCCCCATCAGCTCCGGAGAGGACCTTCCCACCCTCCCACCCCAGTTCCTGCCCCGAGTCTGTCTCCATGGGCAGCAAAGGAAGGTGCGGTGAATGAATGGTGGGGGAGGGGGGCACCCGCTCCCTTGGCCTCCCCTGCCCACCGCCAGAGTGGAGAGCCCACCTCCACCCACTCTCCCTGCAGCCCTGACACCACAACCAGAGCCTCATCCACGGGGCCACCCCGCAGCCCCTCCCCAGCTGGCTAGTCCCCCAGCAAATCTCAAGTCTCTCCCTCCTCGGGACCTCGGACCTGACCCCTCTGAAGCCATCCTTCTTGCCTGGGTTACTGCTGCCTGAACATCTGCCCTCCACGCAGCCCCCCCAAGTGACCTTTCAAATAGGTCCCTCTCAGCCCAGCCTCCTTCACCTTCATCAGTCAGATACCCCCTTCTGGAAAGTTCCTCTGCATCCGTGCCTTTGCCGATGCTGTTGCTTCCTCCTGGAGCTTCTCCAACCCCTCCACACCCCAGCAAACTCTTTGCTACTAGTCTCAGGCTAAGCGTCACCTCCTCCAGGAAGTCTTCCAGGAACCTACCCCGCCTCTTCTCTAGGCAAAGCCCTGACAGACCAGCCGCCACCTCTGGCCACTGTCGGTTTGCATGCCTGCCCCCCACCACGGGCCAGGGAGTGCCCAGAGGGTCAGGCCGGGCCTGACGGGTGCAGCACAGGAAGTGGTGTTCCTGACTGAACTTCCCGAATGCTTGGAAGAGTGAGGCCTCTGTCCCCAGTGGCCGGCACAGGTCTGCGCCTCTTGGGCTGCTAGGCTGTACCAATGTGCCCCCGGCACGCTTAGGGAGGACCCGCAGGAAAGTGTACCCCTGGTGGGTGACCATCTGGACTCAGTCTAGCTAAAGGACAAACACCCTCCCAGCTCACTCCCAAATACCACCTTTTAAATGGGGCCACCCTGGCCCAGCTGCTCGCCCAGCCCTGCTTTCTCAGACCCTATGGGATTCACTGATAGTATGTGGGTACTGTTCCTCCTCCACTAGAATGTAAGTACCGTGAGGACGGGAATCTTTGTTCTGTTTATTTAAGTACCCCAGGAACTTAGAACACTGCCCAGCTGAACAGTGCTCGGTGAATATTTCCTGAATTATGAGAGAGTGAATGAATGACAGAGAATGAGCGCCCGGGTCTGGAGCCCTAATCAAGAGGCGCCCCACCCGCCGGCCCCCAGGGCCTCTGTTGCTCGTTCATTCACAGGTAGAACCTGTCAGAGGAGAGTCCACACACCTGGGTGCCGGCCCCGCCCCACACCCCCCTCCTCCCCCCGAGAGGGTCCCATCCCATGCCCTCCCCCAGGGCCCTGCTCTCTGCCTGCAGGCCCAGGGCCTCCTGTCTCTTATGGGCACAGGCCCCACCAGCTCCCTGGGTCTCCCTCATGGCCCCCACACTGCCCGTGCAGACCCATGCCTCCCCATACCCAGAGCATCCCTGCTCTGGCTCACACGAGGGCAGCCCGGGGCTGCATCATGTTGGTGTCAGGCCTTGTTCTGGCAGAAACACTGTGTCGAGTCCCGGGGGAGCTGCTGCCGGAAGCAAGAGGCCCCACCTCAAGCCACTGCTGGCTGGGGCAGACCCAGTGCCCTGCCAAGGCCATGACCCCCAACTGGCCCCCTCAAGGCCCCTTGGTCCAGGCCAAGCCCAGGAGGGGTTACCAGTGGAGACCAGCCTGTGCTGTTGCCCTCTGTGCTCACCTGGAGGGCCGGGGGGGCCCCGGGGCCCTGGGACACCCGCCAGCACCGTGTCCACGGCGGCAGAGGCCAGCTGCGCGTCTGCATCTGCGGGAAGGGCAGAGCGGCCCGTGACCTGGGGGGCAGGGCCGGCGGGGCTGGGGGGCTAGAGCTGAGATCCCCCGGAGCCAGGATGGGCATGCCCGGCCCCGCTGGGCCTCACTGCAGCCCTGGTGAGCAGACGCCATTGCTCCCACGACTCAAGAGGAGCACACAGAGGCCAAATCAGAGGGCAGGGGAAGCCCCGTGGGCACCATTTAAAGCACAAACTCCTTCCTGAACACTCCAGGCCCTTGACTCTGGCCCCACCTTGCTTACCACCCAGGCTGGACGCTCTTCCAGGGTCCAACC